TCTCAAGTATCGTTTTGACACTTGATTGCCATTCATGCAAACGGGACTTGATTGCCATCCTAGAGTCTTAGCGAGGCAGAGGCTATCTTTTAGCGACGAATGCACTATAATATAATATTGGCAACAGCTAAATGTGATTGTTTTTCAATTCGTTTGGCGATAAACACTACAATCGTGCAAATGCACAGAATGAAAGCATGAAAATCGCGTTCGGCAGAATGCTGCGAACAAATACAAGCGTTGAAGGAGATACTTTTAAGACATAAACCCTTCCGTTGTGTATTTCATGCTTAGTGGTTGGGGCTTTGTGGTTGAAAATTTTGACCTTCAGATAACCAATTTAATTGAATCAGCTGCATGTGGGCCTACTGTATGATCTTTATTAAATCAAGAACTATGCGACCAGACCAGAATAGCCAGAATATCAAACTCATGATTGTTCTGGATTTCCATCATGAATTGGTGGTTTGGTATCAATATCTTGATATTTAAAAGACAGAGATACAACAAACATGTTATTTTAAAAAGGAAAACACCTTTCGGGCAAATGCAATACTATAAATATACCTGCTATTCTGCTAATTATTTTTTTCAAAGTTTCTCCAAATCAATTTAATGGCCATATTAATCATTATTTTAAACACTCGTTAATTTTTCAAAGACTTCAACTAGTTGCACTCATCCTTGGGACTCGTGCAATTTTTTGTCTTTGTCTTTGAGTATCTCACTCGTGCATGTTTTTTTCCAAATTGCCCTCCGGCCTCGAAACCAGACCATCTGAACCCCACAAATAATACACCGTGCCCCTATATAGACAGCTATTGATTAGTGAGCATCAACAACTCAATCGAAGACTGACTTTCTACTGTAGTAATTTAGACAGTATTATAAAAAATGCTCAAGCAAAACCAATGATATATATGTACTATTTAAAGAGTTCATACTCAATATCACTGATGCATGATTTCATGCAGAGATTATTTTAGCAGCCAAAACAGAAACATTGATTTTACCAGAGAAATTTTAATAATCTCATGTTTCCACAAAACAAAAGAAACCAATTATATTCATTTCCACCATGCGAACATAGTACAAATAACAGTTAATACTAAAGTAATTAAAAGACACTGAACTTTGCAACAAATCAACTTTATTACTTGAACAAAGACAAGATTTTACACCACTGAATTAAACTAGATTTAACCCAATCTTAGAAATCGTAATTGTTTGATCAGTTGCACTGTGCTCAAAATGTGCTGTTTTAGATTAAATATGTGAAATCAATATCTGAAAAGCTTTCAGTGAATTATGTATAACCATGCATAATAATTTAAACTTATAAGTAATAATATGAAGCAATAAGGTCATATTAAACAAGCGAAAAGATTAATAAGAAACATATATGAAAACCACAAAGAACGTTTACCGAAATTTTCAAAAAAAAAAATTATCGTAAAGTACTTGCAACAATAACTTGTAATAATCAAACGACACGCAAGTCATAGCACGTTTCAACTCCTGCATATGAAGCGTAAGATATTTATGTTGAGCTGTATGTTAGAAATAAACCACATTATCAATTGTTTCATTTCACATGACACTATTCGTAACATTCCGTATATTTTTCCATATGCCTCGCAGTTCAAAATATGCCTGGATGACTTGCATGTTGTTTCATCAGATTTATGATTGAATTGTAGAGAAAATTTAAAATAATTATAGTATAAGATACTCCAAACTATTGGCTCATTTCTTTCTTGAGATATTCAAAAATGTTCGATGCGCAAATTCTCCTAACTATAAGTATAACGTCAAATTGCATAAAGACTTTGTGAAATTTAAATAATAACTCTTATAGATAACTGATTCGAATCTGTCGATATCACAGTATATAATTGTAGCATGTTGACCTAACACCTATGCACGGTTTTACGATTTCGATGAACGATATAGCAAGGTCTTGCAGGTTTTTGGGGGAAGTCATTATGCAATGTGATGTCATATACTGAGGATAATTTCCACATCAAATATAAGCCGGTTTTCCACTATTAAGAAAAGCAATCTCGTGGCACCCTCCTGGGGAATACATTTTCTGTGATTCAATGCATTACTCATAGATGCTCAATTTCCACAAAACGTTCCCGAGCGAAAAACCTGCCCAATACCGAGAAAATGAGTGAAAGTTTGTACTCGATTACAACAAACATGACTTGCATCATCAGAAAGCTTTAGTACCCAGTCCTTATTGCGACATTTTGGTTCAATTTTCACATTTAAAACAGCAATAACTCAAAGACTATTTAAAGACTCAAAAACTGTTTAAATGTCTTGTATGCGGTGTTTTGTACGTTTCCGATGATGCAAGTCATTTTTATTGTAATTGAATACAAAATTCCCCATTTTTTTGCTGTAATACAATTTAATAGAGAGTAATCATCGATCAGCCATTTTCTTGGTATTGGAAAAGTTTTTTTGCTTGGGACCTTTTTTTGGTAGTAATGAACTTGTATGTCTTCAAATAAACTGTGACAATCTATAATTGTACTTCCCACATGGGTGTCACGAAGCGACCCAATTTTGGCCCACGGCCTATATGCGGAATTGTGCGCGCGGAGTGGATTTTCTTTGGCTGTTCTAATTAATTCCACCCGAAAAATCACAAGACAAAGAAAATTTCCGCCTAGTGGAAAACCGGCTAAAGATATAGTTTGGGAAAGTGACTTATTCTGTCAATTTGAATTTTCTTTACAACGCAATCATAAAAGATGGTGCAAAATTTCGTTGCATGAGCACTTTAAATTTAGTTTGAGATTCACGAATATATATTGAGATAAGTTTTAGACGATATGGTCCACTTTAATTTCTGATGGTTGAAATTTGTAAGTTCCTGCCAGGATGGTGCTTGCGTCGCTGACACCAGATGGAGCTTGGTATAGTCGTCATTAAAATTAGTGTATGAGTTGGTATTCGAACCCGCATCACTATATATATTATGTGTATATCATGATCGGATTTCCAAATGTTGGTCCAAAACTATTTCTTGTGTAAATTGCGCGTACGGATCATTTTGATCTTCCATGCAGTGGGGCCCTAAAAGGCGAGAGATTTTCTTTGTTGCGCGTGGGAAATTGTTAAGAGATCATCATTAATAGTATAGTTTAAAATGTCAATATTTATCGTGCCGGCTTTGATAAACTAGAGCAATATTTCTCCTGTCACAACGCAGGTCAAGTGGCAAGAGTGTTATGATAGAGCAGGATTATACACTCTTAAAATTTTTTAAATAACACTATTTGGGTAAGTCAACTTAATATTCCTCGGGCTGGTTCAGTCGAATTCAAACGTCGATTAGCTCAAAGCAAACTTCCCAAAAGTTTGTTTATAAATTTGGAAATATTTCTTCAGAAATATTGTCTGAATCATGCAGCAGGAGTTTTCTTCTCTGAAGTTTTGAAATAAACAGACGTGCAGAAACACAAACTAAAACAGCAGGTTAAATTTTAACCAAGGCCTTAGCGTGAATCCAGCTTTGAACAACCAACTGCTGGTTATATTTCCTGGTTATTTAATGATCTCACTCTCACGTCTTGCCATCAATTCCATGCATGATAATCTGGTTAATGCAGCCAGAAAACTGGTTATATTTGACGAGTATGAGCCGGGTAAGCAGAAAATTCATTCCACTTGACCACGGCTGAGAATCGAACCCGCGACCTTCGCATTTCTAGAACGACGCTCTACTTTCTGAGCTACAAGGCCAAGTTGGGAACGATATGTAATTTATTCGTGATGTTAACGACATGAACGAATTTCTTCCTTTCCATGCCTGGTGCCAGCTATAATCCAGCGAATGATTAATATATATATATTTAAAAAACTCATTATAATTACATTATAACTACAGACGGTACCGTTTCGGCCTTATGGGCCTCATCAGTGTAGTGCTGATGAGCAGGATGAAAGTAACTGCTATTTACAGTTACCTTTGATGCCTCACGATTGTGGGACATCAAAACCATGCCAGAGCGCTCAAACTGCAAGCAGTGAGCGTGCGCAATGCGTAAGCGGCATGGCTCATCCTGCATGTAGAGCGCTCAATATGACCTAAAGGTCCATGTCTTCATTAGCTCGCTATACTTCGGTATATCGAGCACTCTACTCATATATATATATATATATATATATATATATATATATATATATATATATATATATATATATATGATGATATTTCAGGGTACTGAAAAATTTTCATCCAGTGCGCCACTTTAATATATATAGTGCTCAAAATGTTGTTCAAATGCAAATAATAAGACCAGAACAGCAAAACATGATTTACAACCAATTACCATTTTGGATGGATTGCATGCAAACAAGGAAGTTTCCTTGTCAAATTCGTCCAAAAATGGTACAGATGACGTATTAAGGTGAAACAAGCTAGGTTAATGAGGGCTGTTCGGCAAATATATTGGTAATCAGCGAAAAAGTGAACATGTTATAATATCTGAGCCAGCGATTATTATTCATTCAAATTTATTAAATACAGCACATTTATTTACAGTTAATATCTGTCGTCACCATACTTACCCGTGTGGATGGTTAGGTGCAGACGTGGTCAGCTAATGATCTCCGGATTTGAGTTACTTGGATTCAGGTCCGAATCACGTGGACCTGTCCATTCAGGACCTGACCACCGAACGTCTGCACCTTATCACCCCGAACTTAGTTCGATGGAAATTAAATTGAAAATCAATTGTAGTCATGAAAAAAAAAAATTGCTTCTTCTCTGAGCAGATAACCATTGCAGTTGGCTATGAATTAGCTAATGACCTGAGAGTCTGCTTGGCACTCTCTATATCCGATATCCTGAGGGCACATGTCGTACCCAGACTGCGCGCGGCTCCTATGATATTAACCTTGGTTACTATGTAACCTCATTATACGTTATAGCTATGATACAGTAACATAAAAAGTATACATTTGCGTTTTCTCTGTTTTACTGTGTTTCTAAATGCAAAATTAATCAAAAGTTAATTAAGATAAAATGTTTCAACCTCGTCAGGTGTGAATGTATAATATGTGCCAGCAAGAAGACTCCTCGCCTTGGTTGAGCCGTAGGAATACCCGCTTGGTGCCTGATAGTAATAGCCAGGATTTGTGTAGGAACCAGTATTTGCATTGGCATTATTTGCAATATGAATATCATGACCAGCACCAAATGTGGGACCATATTCAGGTCTAGTGTATATAGCATATCCCTGGTGTGTGACAGGAGATTTGAAGGGTGGGAGGTTGTCTTTATTCACGAAGGAGAAGATAAATGTATTGGAACTACTTTTGTAACCTGGCGAACCTAAAGAAAAAGGAGAAACAAAGAAAGTTGAAACCTGAAATGTATTGAAATATCTGAAGTACTATTTAAAACACGAGAAAGAGTGTTTTATCATAATTAAAACGCGAGGCGCAGCCGAGCGTTTTAGATATAATGAAACGCGAATTCGGGTGTTTTGAATAGCTTAAAGAGGCTGTCAAGTCCGTTCTGCTCATGCGTGTGTTTTGTTTACATTTTTGTTTCAAACAATAGATAATTTAACTACTATTTACAACATGAGCGGCCGTGTTGTATCGGATATACAAACTCGAGCCGAAGGCGAGAGTTTGTATATCCGCGATACAACACGGACGCGAATTTTGTAAATGGCTTAAAAAACGACTCATCTTATGAGTTCATTGGCGAAGTAATTTTAAAAATAAACGTTGTCTAAGCCGAGAAAATCAAAGTTAAAGTTTATGTAAATCAACATGAATCTGTATCACATATACAGTTCTCCTTCACGCCCATGATTTCTTTTGTGTTTTCTTCATGAATTATTAATGAGTATTTTAATTAAAATTCCGATCTGTGGTCCCACAAGTTAGCTCATTAGTTACGCATTCAGAATATATCACGAAGGAGAAATTGAACTACTAAAGCAAAAATTTAGCCCCAAAACAACAAATTTTAAATCGAAAACGCTAAGAAGCACTTCTTACAGAGGTATGGACAAAATTTGATTGAAATGTGTACACATTTAGCTTCAAAATGACGAATTTAAGATTGAAAATGTTAACGGCCGTTAACAAACACATCTTTATACAAAGGCACGAGCTTCAATCAAATTTTGTCCATACCCCTGTAAGAAGTGCTTCCGTTAGCGTTTTCGATTTTGTTTTGGGGCCAGTGGCGGCGGAACAGGGGGGCTAGGGGGGCTAAAGCCCCCCAGAAAATTTTTGATAATTAAGGAAAAATTTAGGGTATTTTTGGAAAATTTAGGTATAAGGGGTAAACTTTGCAATATTTTGTTTAAAAAATGTGTATGCCCGGAAAATGTTTTTGTTATAGGTCCGGAAAATTTTTTTCAGCGCCTTTTTTGTTTGTGTCCGGAAAATTTTTTTGGTAGTATGTCCGAAAAAAAGTGGCGGGTGGGGGGGAAGAAAATTTAAATCCCCTCAAAAAATTTAGCCCCAACTTTTGAAACAAAAATGTAAACAAAACAGGCGCATGAGCAGAACGGACTTGACAGCTTCTTTAAAATACGACTACTAAAGAATACTAATTAGGATGAACAATTATATAATCATACTAATTAGGATGAAGAATTATATAAAGAATACTAACGAAGATGACTTTTATCACATATAAAGTCACTCCACCTGACATATTATGGCTGACATGATTTGCCACAAGGTTTTTGTATTTTTAATGAGTATTTTGACTATATGCAACAACTCAGTCTTGCACTTTTCATGCCACGGACAACCACTGGTCAAAATTCGAGCTAGGAATTAATTTAAAATTAATTTAAAATTGAATAAAAGGGATTTTCACCGATTTCATTGGGGTATAAATGTTAACTAATCCGAGTTGGTTGCGGTGACTTCGAGTAATTTTTGCGGATCAAAATATTTCAAGAAAAAAGCGAGATCCATAAAATTCTGTGAGGAAGATTGATGCGTAATTTTCATTTTTATATTGCTTGAATCAAACATGCGTGTTGTATGGGTTAGTGCCAGGATGGTTTCCGTGTTACTGACACCAGATGCAGGTTGATATCTGGTATTGATACGTGTGTGAGTGTGTAGGTATTCGAAGCAGCATTGTTAGATATGTAGCTATATATCACTGAACCTACTCCAAATGTTGGTCTATAATTATTTGTTGTGCTAATTGCGTACTGAGTATTTTGATCTTTCAGCGGGGCTTTAAAAGGCGGGAGATTTTCTTTGTTCCGAAGAGAGAATATGAAGGGTCCTGGAGCTTGTTCGTAGCCGTTACCTGTTATAACGTAAAAATAATGTTTTGACGTATTTAATCAGATTTATATTGAGTGCGGCACGCAGTAGTGTTGCAGCCACGGACGAATTTGAAAAATTTCAAGCGTTCATGCATATGTTGCGTTTAAGCCTGTCGCACACGAGAGCATTTGGTTCAGCTAGCCTTCGCGTATCCCGGTATAAGCTCATCTCTATATGTTTGTCGCAATCATAAATTAAAGTGCTAAGCTAATATTCTATTTCGCTCTAAATTTCAAAATAGCGCGGTAAATGTCACGTACCACATGAGAAAGATATGTGTTTTTATTGGCTGCTAATATTCATAGCTGAGCTTATAACTCACAACGTCCACACACGGTGCGATCCTTGCCTCGCGTGGACAGAATAGTCAAACACGATAGAATTTTTCCTCACGGTCTCGCGCGTCAAAACCCGCAGCAAAAACCGTGTATTGCCACGCGTGGCGGTTAGCTCAGCCAAAAGCCGCTCTTATGTGCGGCAGGTTTTATTTAGTATCTTTCATTTAAATAATTTAATTATCACAACCACTTATGAGTGCGGTAAAAGGAGAGTGCTGATTACGTTTCGCGGAAAATAAATCCATAATTTCACGATTCACGAAGAAAAACGTTTCACGGAAAATTAGTAAGACGCTGTTGCTGAAATGTTTCTTTCGCTTATACCCACTAAACCGACGGCGTATAAGTATTGTACAGTTTATGTATTTCAGTGGGAACATGATCAAGAAATGTCCATTAGTTTGCTAATTTTCGACTTTTTCTATATGATCAAAACGACTTTAATGAAATGGTCTCTCTTAAATTTTCTAATCACCTTTCACGGGATACTTGGTCTTTAAATCTCGTTTCACGTAAAATAAATAAAGGATTTCACACTTCACGAGAAACACTTAAATGTCCGTTCACCGAAAATACGAGAAGTTTCACGATTCTCTAAAAATACTTACTGTTCGGTCTATACGTATACAATAGATATTAAGATTCAATATGTCCCAGATTGATGGGCCGTTGGCCAAAATTATTTCGCTTCGTGGCAACCCCGTGGGAAATATATTTTCTGTGGTTCAATGCATAGTACCATAGATGCTCGATTACCACCAAAATTTCCCAAGCAAAAAACTTGCCAAACACCGAGAAAATGGGTGATCAGTGATTATCCTCTATTATAAAATTGTATTACAGCAAGAAAATGTAAAATTTTGTATTACAGCAAACATGACTTACATCATCAGAAAGCTTACAAAAATCTACATATAAGACATTTAAACAGTTTTTTTATATCTCAAATTGTTTTCGAGCTATACGCTGTCAAAAACGCTTTTTTGACCTGATACCCAGTCCTTATTGCGACAATTTTGTTCAATTTTCACATTTAAAACTGAATAACTCAAAGACTATTTGAAGGATCAAAAAACTATTAAAAAGTTTTATATGCGGTTTTTTGTAAGCTTTCTGATGATGCAAGTCATTGTTGTTGTAATTGAATACAAAATTTCACATTTTCTTGCTGTAATAGAATTTAATAGGGGATAATCACTGATGACCCATTTTCTCGGTGTTTGGCAAGTTTTTTGCTGGGGAACTTTTTGTGGTAATTGAGCATCTATGGTACTATGAATTCAACCACAGAAAATCTATTCCCCAGGGGGTTGCCACGAAATTGCTTTTCTAACTAATTTCTCGCACAAACCGGCCCACGGCCTAATATTCCTACCAATATTTATGTAAATTTACACCAAGCACAAACAATGCTATTAGTAAATGGATTGATTTTAATTTTCGAAATTTGTTAAGTTTTATATTTTATACAGAACCCTATATACATGCATTAATAATAACTAACAATAACTTAATAATAACTTTTGTTTCCCCTTGAATCTCCGCAATGTTCTTGAGACTCTCGGGAAAACAAAACTGACTATCTCCTTCTGGAGCAGACATTAGGGCCATTTATACGCGACAAAATAAGACGCGACTCACATAAAGCCTGTTTTCGACTAGGCGGAATTTTGCGCGCGGAGCGGAATTTTTCTTTGTCTTGTGATTTCTCGGGTGGAACTAATTAGAAAAGACAAAGAAAAATTCCGCTCCGCGCGCAAAATTCCGCCTAGTGGAAAACAGGCTTAAGACGCGACCTAAATAAGACGCGAGTTTGTCGTATAAAAGGCACAAAATTCTTATGTAAGACGCGTCTTGGTCAAGACGCGACTTAAATAAGAACAGGCATTTTAGCTGTTCTTATTTAAGTCGCGTCTTAAATAAGAAATTTTGGACAAAAATTCTAACTATACACATGCCCGAAACTTGAAACAACGCCGTAAAATTATTAGCCTTGCATATTAAAACAAAAACAATCGAAACAACATTATAGCAAGTAAAGAAGAATAAAGCCGTAGAGAACTATTTATGCGATAACTCCGCTTATATAAGACGCGTCTTATGTAAGTCCCGACTTATTTTGTCCCGTATAAATGGCCCTATTAAGTGCATGTGTATACCCTGCTACAACGGTTGTGATCTTTTCAACACAACAGCATACATGCATTTATCTCCTTAATTTTTCCTTTAAAAAGTTAAAATTTAATCAGAAACAAAATTGAAATGCAGTTTTCATATAGTCATTCCAGTCAATTTTCGTTTTTTATTTTTGAATCTAATTTCTGGCACCCCGTGTTCGAATTTTGTTTTAAATTTAAAGGCTTGCTACTGATCATTTTTCATCTCATTGTATACATTGAAAGTTTATTATAATTCGATGTGTACTAGATGCATAAAGAAATCCGGTCCAAAACAACCAACCTAATCCCTGTTCTGCATGAAGTGGGGTAAATATGACAATACCTGCATGCCAGTTTGTACGAGTCGAGTTCTTATTTAATAAGTATATAGTTGATTGTTTAATATTAATGTTGCCCATGCAGTGAGTCGGTGTATATTTTATCAAAACCTGATGATGTAGAGAGTCGCTATATATTTTATCAAAACCTGATGATGTAGAGAGTCGCTGTATATTTTATCAAAACTTGATGATGTAGAGAGTCGCTATATATTTTATCAAAACCTGATGATATAGAGAGTCGCTATATCAGTTTTATCAAAATTAAACCTGCATGATGATATAGAGAGTCGCTATATATTTTATCAAAACTTGACGATGTAGAGAGTCGCTATATATTTTATCAAAACCTGATGATATAGAGAGTCGCTATAGGCTATATTTTATCAAAACCTGATGATATAGAGAGTCGCTATCGATATTTTATCAAAACTTGATGATGTAGAGAGTCGCTATGTATTTTATCAAAACCTGATGTCGCTATATATTTTATCAAAACTTGATGATATATAGAGTCGCTATATATTTTATCAAAACCTGATGATATAGTGAGTCGCTATATATTTTATCAAAACCTGATGATGTAGAGAGTCGCTATATACTTTATCAAAACCTGATGATATAGAGAGTCGCTATATATTTTATCAAAACCTGATGATATAGAGAGTCGCCATATATTTTATCAAAACTTGATGATGTAGAGAGTCGCCAGCCTAGACCTAGGCCTTCTATTTTTATTTATATATTTTTAATATTAAGCGCTTTTTCACATGAAAAGACTGGGACTAGGTGATTTGGGGGCGGGACGGAGGAAGGACACAAGCCTGACGCAAGCCAATCTCGTACCCAGAGTATGCCCGTTCGCAGGTTAGGTGCTGGGCATGACTCTGGAGAAACGGAATACCGGATATCCAATTTTGGATATCCGGTTAGTTGTGCGCATGCTCACGCTCAAACCGCAACATTGAATTCGTGCGGGCGTCATTAGTTGCAATCATAAATAAAATCGTAGAATTCAGTCGAAAATTTGATACTTTTACATTGAAATCAATTGAACAAGATTCATTTTCTTGTGCTAAAAGTTACAGAGTAAATATATATGCGGTGTATATAAACTAATCATTTCTATGGATTTTATACGGTCAAGAAATGGTATCGAGAGACTTCGCAAGAAGGCCACTGACAGAGGTTTTATAGAGGATCTAGATTATTACAAACTATTACGAACAAGATTTGGATCGACTGCCATTTAAACATTATGACTATTAAATATTTTTTATAATATTAAAATATGTAGAATGCTTTATGGGCAACTGTGGACCTGTTAGCCTATTTTGTTTATTACAATTACATAGTGATACTTTAATTGGTGCATTGTATTGATATTTAAAATAAGCATGAAAATACTTCCCTCTGTTATTACTCTAGCTATATCATTCCTTTGTCCTGTGATAAGTTTGATTTAACATTGTGCCAGTACCGTAGCCAGAACGATAATTGGGGGGGGGCACATATTCATATATTCGTGTTCTGCTTTATTAATTTCTTTTGAAATCAATTGTTTTTATGGTATGTGAACACGAATATATGAATATGTGCCCCCCCCCCCAATTATCGTTCTGGCTACGGCACTGCATTATGCATTGCATTACATTCATACAAACAGTTCCATGGTTATATGTATTTAATTTATTTATTAATTGAGTCATAAAAAATTATGTTGACAATTAATTATTGATGCTTGAAAATAACTTAATTAAATGGAATTATGACACAGTGTTTGAACTTTGAAATGTTTTTGCTGATATAATATTATCATTTATCATAACTATTGGGTTTAACCATAGATATAGGAGACCTATCTATGGGTTTAACAATTAACACAGACTGATGTCATCAGGTTGGGTGCCTGTCTGAAAGGTGGCAGGCAAGGCAGGGTGTTGCTAAATTGCCTATCCAAATACTGGAGGCACTGATTGGGAAATCTGCCATTATTGGGGTTATGGGGTAAGCTACATTACCCTGACCTCCTGACATTGCTTCATATCCCTGGAAGACAAATCATAACTTACATGTGCTGATGTATGCCTGCAACAGGTATATGGCCAAATCAAGGTAACTAGCTACTATTCCCATTAAATATGTACTGTACGTTAACTATGTAATGTTGCAAGTGGAATGTAAGATGCATGTGGGATGACCTGCTGCCACTGTGGCATTGTCATAGCCAGTGGTCTAGTAGGGGAGGGGCTCAGGGGGACTTAGCCCACCCCCCTCCACCAGTTTAGGACACTTTTGGAGAAAAGGGACAAAACTACCTGGGGGTGTGTGTAGGGGTGACACCCCCTGTCTCGATCTCATCGGGTATACCCATACAATTTAGTCGGGCAAATCTTGAAAATATTTGAGTGTCTCAGATTGAAAAGTAATAGTGGTAGGAAAAAGCGGTAGTGAAAAATGCCCCCCGCTAACCAACAATTTTGGGAAAAGAAATATTAATTAGCAAATGATCAAATACAGAAGTTTTGCCCCTGTTGGAGAGCCCCCCCCTTGTTAACATTCCAGGACTACACCACTAGTCGTAGCCATACTGGTATTGTTAGCATATATAATTTCAGCACATCATATTGTATGCTCTTACTGCAGTAGCAGACACTTTTGGTGGGAAGGCATTCGGTTGCCACAACGTGAACACCTTATGGTGCTCTAAATCTCAGTCCTTTAAATTTTACCTCAAAATTCTGGCAATTTAAAGCTTATTTTATTCCCAACCTATGCTTTCATGGATGCTATATCATCCAAAGGCTTTCAGAAATGGGAGAGTGGTTTGTACCCTACACTGCTGTCCTGTTTATTTTCTGTTAAGCCCCAAGCTGGCCAAGCAGCTTATTTATTTCAGGCATGGAGTCTAGAAACTATAGCTTGTATCTCAATTTGAGAGAGGATGTGGAGGGTTTAAATTAACAGTAGGTTTGTTATAAAATTATTACTTTAATCGAATATTCCACTACTATTTTAATCGAATATTCCACTACTATAAATATGGCCTTAATTGATGTATTTGTAACAGATCCATAGCTCACATAATTTAATACTTTAATATATTTATAAAGTTATATAAAGAATATTATGGTATACTCAAAAATAGAGTCTTATATCCACACAAAAATTCAATGATGGCTATTTCCAAACGGCAAACACAACAGGTCCAGAACAAGCCAAAATCCCAACACTGGCGATCACTGGCGCAATTGAATTGAACTAAATATTTTGTTACATCATATCGGTAATTTATATATAAACAAACAAAAAGTATTTGCCATAATACAAGATACAAAAGTGTACAGATCGTACGTATAAATCCTCAATCAGATTAAATGTAACAATTAACTTGTATTTGAAATCTTGCAAATAAATGCAATTTCGACTTTGTTTACGTCGTATTCGTGAATTTCCACGTGTAATTCCCGCACTTGAACACCAATTTCCGGTATCGGTGTTATTGATCTCACGCAAGCCCATTAATGAAATTGATAATTTCATTCCGTTTCTCCAGAGTCATGCCCAGCACCTAACCTGCGAACGGGCATACTCTGGGTACGAGATTGGACGCAAGCGAACAAATAAAAGGCCTAGTGGATTTCTCAACAACAAGGCCAAAACTGCCCTGAAACTGCCCTGATTGCGAAATACCCAATTGTTGCGTTCTCAAACAGAATTATTTGCAACTTAACACCGAATTTAAACCGATACAGGTAAAATAAACTCATTTATCGTATAAACTTACTATTTTTATTTGTATACATGTCTAGAAAATCGGGTTTTTTATCATAAAGTTTGAAGCAACACTATTTATATATGTTGACAAGGTGTAGCGAAACGGCACAAAATAATAATTCTTTTATTCGCAATACAATCTACTGTTTTGCTTTGAATAACTATATTTGCGAATTGGGAATGAGGATTTTGAAATTATTGTTCAAATATTACAGATATACCATTTGTAAACAATGTACGTTTTTATATACAGTACTGTACGGGCTAATAATATATGTGTCCGTTTTATTTTGTATATTTTACAAACACAAGACTGCTTCTTGCCAAAATTGAGAAAATATATATTAATGTAGTTGTGTATAAGACAAAATTTCATGAAAGATTCTACTTTTGGTATATATTTTGACTCATTTTGTGCTTTCGCTACACCTTGTCAACATATTAAATATTAAATAGTGTTGCTTCGAACTTTATGATAAAAACCCCGATTTTCTAGACGTGTATACAAATAAAAATAGTAAGTTTATACTATAAATGAGTTTATTTTACCCGTATCGGTTTAAATTCGTCGTTAAGTTGCAAATAATTCTGTTCGAGAACGCAATAATTAGGCATTTCGCAACCAGGGCAGTTTCAGGGCAGTTTTGGCCTTGTTGTTGGGAAATCCACTAGGCCGTCTAGGCTGGAGAGTCGCTATATATTTTATCAAAACCTGATGATATAGAGACTCAGAGTCGCTATATATTTTATCAAAACTTGATGATATATATAGAGTCGCTATATATTTTATCAAAACCTGATGATATAGTGAGTCGCTATATATTTTATCAAAACCTGATGATGTAGAGAGTCGCTATATATTTTATCAAAACCTGATGATATAGAGAGTCGCTATATATTTTATCAAAACTTGATGATATAGTGAGTCGCTATATATTTTATCAACACCTGATGATATAGAGAGTCGCTATACTGATATATTTTATCAAAACCAGATGATATAGAGAGTCGCTATATATTTTATCAAAACTTAATGATATAGAGAGTCGCTATATATTTTATCAAAACCTGATGATATAGAGAGTCGCTATATATTTTATCAAAACCTGATGATATAGAGAGTCGCTATATATTTTATCAAAACTTGATGATATAGTGAGTCGCTATATATTTTATCAACACCTGATGATATAGAGAGTCGCTATACTGATATATTTTATCAAAACCAGATGATATAGAGAGTCGCTATATATTTTATCAAAACTTAATGATATAGAGAGTCGCTATATATTTTATCAAAACCTGATGATATAGAGAGTCGCTATATATTTTATCAAAACCTGATGATATAGAGAGTCGCTATATATTTTATCAAAACTTGATGATATAGTGAGTCGCTATATATTTTATCAACACCTGATGATATAGAGAGTCGCTATACTGATATATTTTATCAAAACCAGATGATATAGAGAGTCGCTATATATTTTATCAAAACTTAATGATATAGAGAGTCGCTATATATTTTATCAAAACCTGATGATATAGAGAGTCGCTATATATTTTATCAAAACCTGATGATATAGAGAGTCGCTATATATTTTATCAAAACTTGATGATATAGTGAGTCGCTATATATTTTATCAACACCTGATGATATAGAGAGTCGCTATACTGATATATTTTATCAAAACCAGATGATATAGAGAGTCGCTATATATTT